TCCCTGGTATCCAGGACACAGTGTTCATTTATTTCTCCTTCACAGCCTCCAAGCCTTTCCCCTTCCTTTGTTGTGCCAGTGCCTCAATATTGTAAACCCCCCGCCCCACCCCCAGCTTCTCCTAGGCATTCTCACCCTCAGATGAGTGCATTTGGTGTCATGGCCACACCAGCCATCCCTCTGCAGGTGGCTTCTACGTAGGAAACATGGAGTCCAGGCATATTTCCAGAGCCCTAGAGGTCCTCTGCTCCTTGAGAACTCGTCATCATTGCAAACTTAGTGTGTCCACATCCCAACAAATGCTCTCTCCTTTCTGTTTATGCCTCCTAGTCTTTTTAAACAGATGTTTTTAAAAAATCAATTTTGTGGAGGTAGAGTTTACATATGAAGGGGTGCAAACTATGCCACCCCAAAATATGCCTTTTGGCATAAGGATTATCCTGAGCTGGTTATTTATTTTTTTTTAAGATTTTTAAATTTTTTTTCTTTTTCTCCCCAAAGCTCCCCGCCGCCCCCCCCCCCCCCCCCCCCCGGTACATAGTTGTATTATATTCTTCGTTGTGGGTCCCTCTAGTTGTGGCATGTGGGACGCTGCCTCAGCATGGTTTGATGAGCAGTGCCATGTCTGCGCCCAGGATTCAAACCAACGAAACACTGGGCCGCCTGCAGCGGAGAGCTTGATCTTAACCACTCGGTCACAGGGCCAGCCCTGAGCTGGTTATTTTTAAGAAACAGCAAACACAGGAGAAACTCTGAAAATGGAGTAGAAGTCACATTTTTGTAAGAGACATTTATATTGATAAGGGAAATCTCCATTCTTAAGGGTGTCTCTCTTTCTGTACCAGAAAGCGGAGGATGACCACCTCTCTAGAAACTTACCAATGGAGAGGGCGTGGATTTAAATCTGCATAACAACCATTCTCTTGTTTACTGTGCTGTGCCTGGTAACCTCCCCTACCTGGCTCCCTCCCATCCCTACCTACATCTTCTTTTGTCTTTAGCTGGAGATGATATTTAGGGTGGTGACCTGGACCATTTGAAGGAGTTAGTCAGTTTTTCTGGGTATCTCCCCTGTATACAGGAGGTATTTGTCTTAGTAAACTTCTATTGTTCTCCTGTTAATCTGTCTTTTATTACAGGAGGATCTCAGTTAAGAACCTAGAAGGGTGGAGGGAAAATTAGTTTTCCTTCGCTACACATACAATAAAGTATATCTGTTTTAAGTGTACAGTTCAATGAGTTTTGAGAAATATATGTACCCAAGTAATCACTACCACAATCAAAGTAAAGATTATTTCTCTCAGCCCCAAAAGTAAGCCTCCCCACTGAGCCCCAGGCCACAACTACTCTCCTTCCTGGCCTATAGATTAGATTTACCTGTTCAGAACTTCAAATATGTAAATATGACTCAAACAGCATGTGCTCTTTTGTGTTTGGCATCATTATCTCAGCATGAGGTCTGTGTGATTCATCCATATTGTTGTGTGGATCTGTTTTTTTTGTTGCTGATTTTTTGAGGAAGATTAGCCCTGAGCTAACTGCTGCCAATCCTCCTCTTTTTGCTGAGGAAGACTGGCCCTGAGCTCACATCCGTGCCCATCTTCCTCTACTTTCTATGTGGGATGCCTACCACAGCATGGCTTGATGAGTGGTGCCACGTCCGCACTTGGGATCCGAACCGGTGAGTCCTGGGCACCCAAAGTGGAACATGCACACTTAACTGCTGCGCCACAGGGCCAGCCCCTGAATCTGTTTTTTTTTTTAAAACAAAGTAGTATTCCAGTGCATGGATATGCATTCAGACAGGTACTTCCTTTAAGCTGTTTTTTTCTGCTAAGCATCCTGATAGACATCTGCTCAGTAGTTTTTCTTTTTTCTTTTTGACAGAAATGTTGAACTTACTACTGACTAGTTTATTTATTCATGCATGTTATATTTTTTTTCAAAATGGAAATATCTTTTTAAAGCTATATTTGTAAAAAGTGTTTATATGTATATTTTTTACTCAAACATTTCAGTAGCAGAGTAAAAATCCCCAGAAATGAGTGCATGTGCATTTTTTACCTATATCTTTGATCAGGGGTAATAACACATAAAATGATTATTCTTGCTTTTTTTTTCATTTAATGATATATTAACATTACTTTCTAAAACAATATAGGGTGATATCCCCACCATTTTCTACAGCTGCATGATATCAACACAACATAACAATGATTTTTCTATCAATGAACTCTGTTTTTTAAAAAAATAGTGTTCCAATGAAACACCATGCATTCCAGCCCTGATGATTGTCTTTGAGCTATTTGCTGCTCTTTACAAGTTGTAGGTGTAAAGGAGAGAAAATATTTTTCCCTTTACCCTTCTAGGTTCTTGGCTGAGACCCCCTTTGGTAATAAAAAGACAGAGTAATAAGATAAAAACAAACTGAAGTTTAAGGATCTGTATATACCTCCTGTATACGTGGGAGAGACCCAGGAAAATGGAGCAACTCTCATCACCTTAACAGGGTCTTCAGCTAAACACAAAAGAAAGATGTTGCGGGTGGGACGAGGCAGTTACGGGAGGTTACCAGGCAAAGCACAGTAAACAAGGGTAAAGTTGTAATGCAGATTTGAATCCAAACCTTCTCCAATGACAAGTTTCTAGAGATGTAGTCATCGCCCTCTTCCTGGTACAGAGAGACACCCTTATGAATGGAGTGTCTCCGGTGTCTGCTGTTCCTTAAAAATAATCAGCCTAAAATAATCCTTATGCAAAGAGGCATATTTTGGGGTGACAAATTCTGCTCCGCATCATAGGTAACGGATACATATGCAAATTCCAACCTGTGTGGTAGTGCTTGACTTCCCTGTCCCCAGTCCTGTGGAAAAGTAAGTTTTGTCTCCGTTTGCAATTCATCTCAACATCCCTTTACTCCAAATAAATCTGTGCTGTTTTGACTTTCCGTTTGAACTTGGTTATAACCTTTGCCGGATTCCCTCATATCATATACATAAAATAAATCGTGTAGCACACATTCTTTTTTTTGTTTTTTTAAAGATTGCCACCTGAGCTAACAACTGTTGCCAATTGTCTTTTTTTTTTTCCTTTTTCTCCCCAAAGCCCACGGATACATAGTTGTGTATTTTTAGTTGTGGGTCCTTCTAGTTGTGGCATGTGGGATGCCACCTCAGCATGGCCTGATGAGCAGTGCCATGTCTGCACCCAGGATCTGAACCGGCGAAACCCTGGGCCACTGAAGGGGAGCACAGGACCTTAACCACTCGACCACGGGGTCAGGCCCCCACACATTCATTTTTATATCTGTATGAGTCATGCTTTTACCTTTTTCTGAAAATTATCTTTTAACAACCCTAATTGTTTCCAATATAATCAATATAATTAGGATGTTCATATAATCATTGAACATCCTTATTCAAAAATCTTTGTGCACTTGTGAAATTCCTTACGTAGGATAAATGCCTACATGAATTATTGTTATAGGTATTCACATTGTCCAACTGCCTTCTAGAAAGTTTGTAACAATTTATACCATGATAGCAGTGAAGGGATTAAGAGCCCATCAAAGTGGTATGAAAATTATTTTAAACTGAAAATATCTGAACAACCACCAGCCACAGAAGGAAACATTATCTTTTTTTTTTTTTTTGAGGAAGATTAGGCCTGAGCTAACATCTGCTGCCAATCCTCCTCTTTTTGCTGAGGAAGACTGGCCCTGAGCTAACATCCATGTCCATCTTCCTCTACTTTATATATGGGAAGCCTACCACAGCATGGCTTGATGAGTGGTGCCATGTCCGTACCCAGGATCTGAACCAGGGAACCCCGGGCCGCCAAAGTGGAACGTGCGCACTTAACCGTTGCACCCCCGGGCTGGCCCCAAAAGAAACATTATCTAAAGTGTAGCAGAGCCTCCAGAAAATGGAGCTCAGAGGGGAGGCCCCTCTGAGGTAGTTTGCTGATTGGGACAAGACTGATCCGTCACCCCTGGAAGTGGGAATTCAGCTGTCATTAGCATCAAAGAACTCAAGAGAGCCTTCCCTCCCTCCCCACTGACGCCCTACATGCTCCCTTATGTGCACCCCTTTTGTTAAGGTGATATGTAAACCTTTCTCTCAGGCTTTTCAGAGTTTCCGGTTACACTCCCACATGTTCTTACAAATAAACCTTGTCTTTTCTCCTGTTAATCTAGCTATTCTCAGTTAATCCACAGGCCCCCAACCATTCCCACAACCTAAAATGGTAGAAGGAAAGTTTTCCTCCCCACAGCAGTATAGGAGCCCATGTCTGTACATGCTGGTCAATATTAGGTTTATCAATTAGGTTTATCAATCTTTTTCAACTTTGCCAATCTGATAGGTGAAAATGATTTCCAGATTTAACTTGCATTTCTTAGGTTTTTACTAAAGTTGAGCATCTTTACATATGGGTTTCTTCTTTGTGAATTATCTGATCATGTCTTCTGCTCATTTTTCCCCTGTGGCGTGTCAATATTTATGTGAAAAATCAATTTGTAAAGAATTCATTAAGGAAATTAACTTTTGCTTGTATACTATTGCATATATGTTCTAGTTTGTTAACTTTTCCCTTTGTTTGTATATCTTTTGCTGTGCCCACACTTAGCATTTTAATGTATTAAGTCCTCAGTGCCCATCTGCCTCTGTTTTGTATATGAGATGCTGCCACAGCACACCGTGCCGGCTCCTCTTTCTTTTTCTTTTTCAATTTTAGGACTTATCTATGTGGGCTTATAAACACATTTCAGACTCTATCTGGAATTTGTATGCTTGGGAGTTACACTTTATTTTGTCTGAAACCGGACATTTATTATTGAATTTGCTTTCTCCCTGCGCGTGCTTAGAGAGTGAAACCTTACCCTCATATATCTTCCTCCAGCTCCAGTCAATGTAATTTTTGTTGGTTTTTTAACAAAATGATTCAAAACTAATTTTGTAGCCTTTGTCAAAATAAACAAATCCAGATTTAGGTAAGCAGAGACTTTATTCAAAAGGATTATTGCAAGAAGGAGAGGGGAGCTGCTGCAAAAATGTGGGCAGATATCTGTAACCATTGCTGTCTTTCTGGAGCACAAGGCTCTGGTAAAGTTCAGCGTTGCCAGTTCTCCTTTCGCTCAAGACGGACGAATATTAGTCATTGCTGAATAACTGAGAGGCGATCATAAACCTCCTGAGTGGAGTGAGTCAGGGACTAAAAATCTCTCAAGGACTCTTTTTGGCTTTGTTCCGGCCAAATCAGATGAAACATCTGTTGCGAGCTGGTAGAAAAGGTCAGGCTCTTCAAAGAGGAATGCCTATAATGGAAAAAAAGAAATATTAAGGAGCGGCCCAGTGGTGTAGCAGTTAAGTTCACACGCTCTGCTTTGGTGGCCCAAGATTTGTAGGTTCAGATCCCGGGTGCAGACCTAACACACTGCTTATCAGGCCATGCTGTGGCAGGAGTTCCACATACAAAAGAGAGAAGATGGGCACAGATGTTAGCTCAGGGCCAGTCTTCCTCAAAAAGAAAAAAAAGAAAGAAAGAAAGAGAGAAAAGAAATATTATTATTTAGAAGTCTAAAAGATCTTTTGACTATGCAAGCACTGCTTGTTGAGTTTCTGAAAGGCATCTGAAAGATGTCAGTGCCCTTGGCGATGTTATCCACAGCCTTCGTTGCCTCTCACATAAAGGAATGTATGACCTGAGCATTTCGCCAGACTTCCTAGTGGCCCAGAGGGTGGCTTGTGTGGGGAAGAATGCAGCACACACATGCATGGACTGTGTGGTGATGCGTCCTTCAAGGCAGACTATATCAAGTTGTTGGGCCTCGGTTCCCAGTCCTTCTTCAGATCCCAGAGGAAAAGTTCAGCTACAAGACAACCTGGAGTCCTGATAATCTGGGCAGTCAGGTTTAGTTCCTGGTCAAGAGGGAGGGAGAGAAAACAGAAATACTACTTTAGAGGTTGTAATCGGATGTTGCAGGAAACTGGCAGAACTGAAAATTTGGCAGAGTTGACAGTTTGTGCAGAACCTGATCACCCAGAAGGATGTACTTTGGTGTTGTACTGAAACGCAAAATTTCTCTCTACATTCACGTCCCTTTGAATCAGAGATAACCTTAAAGAAAGATTATTCTTGATCACAAAATAAAGCTGGCCTCACGAAGGTTGACCTGATTATTTATGCAGGAGTAGCAGGAATGTTAATTCGACATACAGGCCTTTTTATGTTTGCTTTGCTAGAATTTTTATAAAGCGTCTCAGGTTGAACTTATATAAACCTCTTAAGGCTAGGAAGCCATGACATTTCCCCTGCAATACCTGTAGATTTGGATAAATCTCTCTCTTCTTAATGTCCCTCAATTATTCTAAGGTTCCTGGGCCTGCCAGGAAGTGAGCTTCCTTACTCGCTTGTGAGGTTGGGCATCCTGTAAGCCAGGTGCCAGGCCTGTTTTCCCAAGAGGGTTTTGTAAGCATTGGCTCCATAATAAAGTCAACATTAGCTTCTTAAAAGCGTCTAGTAAACGAGCATCATTCTCAAATATGACATGGCAGCCAAAGCCTTGTGTTTTTTAACCCATATTTCCAATTATATTCTATTCACAAAGAGGATAAACTCTTAGTGAACCCATGCAAATAACTATATTGCCATGAAAATAAGAATATTCAATGAGATTCTTAATTCTGAAGAGGAAATCAGGGAGAAGAAAGATAAATTTCATTTCTGTTTACAAAAGCACAGTCTACTAAATTGTTATGAGTTACAGACATCTTAAGGGAAAAGAGAAGGGGGGTTCTGTATATCTAGAAAAAATAGAACATTAAAGAATCAACAATATTCCAAACAAAACATAATCGTCCTTCGTCAGCTCTTCATCCAGTCCTCAGTATTCGTGTTCTGACTCATCTTGGTTGGCAGTCTCATGAACAGATCTGCTTCTCCACTAGAGTTCTGGAAATCTTGACTTGCTACTGGTATATTCTCAAAGTTATGTGAGTGATGCCATCAGGATGTGCGTCCCAGGGGTTGGCCCAGTGGCGCAGTGTTTAAGTTCCCACGTTCCACTTCGGCGGCCCAGGGTTTGCTGGTTCAGATCCTGGGTGTGGACATGGCGCCACTTGCAAGCCATGCTGTGGCAGGCATCCCACATATAAAGTAGAGGAAGATGGGTACAGATGTTAGCTCAGGGCCAGTCTTCCTCAGCAGAGAAAGGATGATTGGCAGCAGTTAGCTCAGGGCTAATCTTCCTCAAAAAAAAAAAAAAAAAAAAAAAAGAAGTGTGTGTCCCAGAGCACCTGGTGGGCAGAGTCCTCTTCCATGGGTCTCTGAGACGGTCCTTTCTGAAGACAAAGCATCTGGCCTGTAGCTGCTTTGGAAGCACTTTCAGGGAAGCATCAGAGTAAAACAAAAACTATCCGTAGATGATCAAACGCCCAGTATGGCCGTGGTTAACTTAGTAATGATAATTTTCAAAAGTGAAAGATCTGATGAAAATTCATCCCAAAAATAATGCAAGTAGCAAGAAAATTTGTTTATGTGGCTTGCAGAATGAAGTCAATCCAAAATCAAAATGGCAACAGAAGGTTTTAAAAGCAAACATAGGCGATAACATGATTGTAAAGGACCACAGGTCTTTCAAAGATGAGAAGACTTTGTTTTTTTAAAATAATCAAGAATATGATAAAGTCAACATAAAGCACAGGAAATTATTCTGATAAAACACAGAATCTTTGCCTTCTAAGCAGATTACTCAGAAAAGAAACAAAAACCTCTTATTAAGAACAGACCAATAATCCAAGAAAATTTTGTCATTTTAACAAAGAGAACACTAAATTCTGATTTTATATCAGTATAACTATTTGATACTAAAGCTTAAAAAAATGTTATAAATGAAACTATCAAGCTTTAGCCAGCTTTGACAATGACAAACAAAATTTCCTATCTGAGAACTTTCTACAATTTTCAACATCCCTTCTGTTTTTTCCTATACTTTTCTCTCCCGCATTTGAGAACAACCAGTCATTTTATTTCAGGATAAAATTACTGTCCCTTTCTTAAAAAAATACCTCCTGCATGCCTTGCATACAAGGTTGTCCCGTTCTGGCATTATTTCTCCAAGCAGAGTCTCGCCCACTGTTATGGGCTGAATCGTGTTCTTCTAAAATTCATATGTTGAAGTCCCCTCGTATCTCAGAATATGACTATGTTTAACAATAGTGTCTTCAAAAAGATAATTAAGTTAAACAAGGTCATTAGAGTGGTCCTGAATCTAATATGACTAGCGTCCTCATAAGAAGAGGAGATTAGGACATAGATACAAAGGGAAAGCCATGTGAAGGCAGAGACTGTCATCTGCAAGCCAAGGAGAGAGGTCTCAGAAGAAACTAACCCTGCTGACACCTTGATCTTGAACTTCTAGCCTCTGGAATTGTGAGAAAATAAAATTCTGTTGTTTAAGCCCCCCGGTCTCTAATATTTTGTTACAGTAGCCCTAGCAAACCAATACACTCACAGAGAAGACGAGGGGGATCATAGTGAACTGTCCGGCATAAACCAGCACATTCTAGCAGACTAGCGAACCTTAAGAATATACATCTCATGACTTTTTTTATAATCATTCACTTCCTTATACAACTACTTAATGTGGCAAAAATGAACACGTGCCTTAACAGATCAAAATAGACTTAGCCTCTCTGTACCATAAAAATAAGAGGCAAAAACCTCAAGTTTACATAAACTTAAAATTATGTTCCAGGATTCTATCTTACTTAGAAATGATCTAGGTAATTAGTGAATATCCGTTAGTTAATTTAAATTAGCACAAGTCTAAGGTTTTAAGATACCTAAAAGATCTTGGAGACTATCTTCAAGCTGACACATTACTAAACATAATTATTGTTGAAATTATTGTCAGAATAATGATTCCACTTGGTTAAACACAAATTTACATTTTTTAAAATAACTGTAAACATGTCGTAGCTGTAAATTAGCATATTGATCAGTAAACCCCTATAAGTTTAGGAAGAACATACTCAAATAGAATAAAAATGTATGCTTGTTTTATAGTTAATGCTGATAACTCAGAAGACAGCTGTTTCATTAAACCAACAACATTAGACTAATTTCATTAGCCAAAGATTTATCTAAATTATGTGAACCTGAATTTTAAAAACACGTGGGATAGTTTCTGTAAGAATACTTTACAAAGTACTAGAAATTCAATATCTTTAATTTATGGGAATTTTAAGAATATTTAATTTATATAAGCGCTTATCTCAAGTCAATCAGAATCGAGGACCTTTTATAATCTACTTGGGTAATACCATTGAGAGGTAAGACAATATTACATATATGATACATATACACATATATGGATACATATAACACATATACATAAGTATATAGACAGGAACAACTAGACAGTTTATAACTTTAATTTTAAAGATTTTATTTTTCCTTTTTCTCCCAAAGCCCCCTGGTACATAGTTGTGTATTTTTAGTTGTGGGTCCTTCTAGTTGTGGCACGTGGGATGCCACCTCAGCACGGCTTGATGAGCGGAGCCATGTCCGCACCCAGGATTCAACCTGGTGAAACCCTGGGCTGCTGAAGCAGAACGTGAGAACTTAACCACTTGGCCATGGGCCGGCCCCTGTAACTTTAATTTTAAAATTTCAGTCTCTATATAGTATCATGTCATCTGTAAATAGTGACAGTTTTACTTCTTCATTTCCAATTTGGATAGCTTTTATTTCTTCTTCTTGCCTAATTTCTATGGCTAGGACTTCCAATACTATGTTGAATAAAAGTGACAAGAGTGGGCCTCCTTGTCTTGTTCCTGATCTTAGAGGAGAAGCTTTCGGCTTTTCACCATTGAATATGATGTTAGCTGTGGGCTTGTCATATATGGCCTTTATTACATTGAGGTACATTTCTTCTATATCCATTTTGTTGAGAGTTTTTATCATAAATTGATGTGGAATTTCTCAAATGCTTTTTCTGCATCTATTGAGATGATCACATGATTTTCATCCTTTGTTTTGTTAATGTGGTGTATCATGTTGATTGACTTGCAGATGCCAAACTGTCCTTACATCCCTGAAAGAAATTCTACTTGATCATGGTATATGATCTTTTTCATGTATTGTTGGATTTAGTTTGCTAATTTTTGTTGAGGATTTTTGTATCTATGTTCATCACGGATATTGGCCTATAAGTTCCCTTTTTTGTAGTGTCTTTGTCTGGTTTTGGTATCAGGGTAATGCTGGCCTTGTAAAATGAGTTTGGAAGCATTCTTTCTTCTCCAATAAAATTTAAACTCATTGGCTCATATAAAAGTGCCACCTCTCTTGGGGCTGGCCCAGTGGTGCAGTGGTTAAGTGTACACATTCCACTTTGGAGGCCCGGGGTACATGGGTTCTGATCCCAGGTGCGGACATGGCACCACTTGGCAAGCCATGCTGTGGTAGGCGTCCCACATAGAAAGTAGAGGAAGATGGGCACAGATGTTAGCTCAGCGCCAGTTTTCCTCAGCAAAAAGAGGAGGATTGTTGGCAGATGTTAGCTCAGGGCTAATCTTCCCCGCCCTCCACCCCCAAAAAGTGTTAGCTCTCATCCTTTTCGTTTTTACCAGGATTGTGTTTCTGACAAATGGTTACTGCTCAATATGAGGCCTAAGCATCTTCACCAGTATTTGTGGAGCAGACCCTTAGGATTTTCTCTTCCCTGTAATGTAATCTTATGAAGTCTGTGGACTAAATTTCAGGCAAGGGACTGAGGAAAGACCAAGTGGCCATCTGTGTGTCTCTAAAGCCTATATGAGTAGATAAAATATCCAGTCAGTCTCCAATGACCTTTTTCAGGCTCAAGTGGTTGCTGTTGGGGTCCCCAAGCCCTTCAAGAGCCCCTGAAGGGGGGAGGGTGTATTATAAGGTCGGAAATTTCATGTGCTGACTTAACATCTTTGTCACAGGGCCCCAAAGGCCTAACTGTCAGTTTTGCTGTTCTTGCGAGATATGCGCCCACGCAGAGGGAATGGTTCCACACTCAGCTAGTTCCCATAGCAGCCAGATGAGATTCACCCCTCTTTATCCTCAACCTAAGGAGTTTCACCTCCTTGACAGCCCATAAAGTTATTTAAACAAGCCATCACACTCTCATGGGTGCCCAGGGTCACCCATCCCTTGTGCTATAAAACCTGCTTCCCACAGCCCCTGCTGATTGACTGCGCTCTTGAGTGTAACCCCCATGTGGCCCTGAATGGTGTGCAGGGTCCTCCTCCCTCAGGCTGTGAGTCCAGGTAGCTAATGAACTGCTCTCAATCTCATCTGTCTAGTATCAGTGCAGTGTGTTTGGCCATCTCGTACTATTTAGGGTGGGGGATCCGTCCTTCACCAGTGGAGTGAAGAGGAGGCGAGCAGAACAGAGGGGGCCTAAATCTTGAGTGACTGTGCCTTGAGGGGCTGGAGTGGGTAGGGAAGGGTCTGACGGGGATGGGGGTGGGGGAGGTAGGAGGGGTGTTGAAGGGAAACAGATCAAAGGATTCAAGGCAGCCAAAGAGAAGGGTAAGGTGATAAAAAGAAGGAGTGGGGATGATGGGAAGGGAAGAGCGTCAGATGAACCACCCTGGGGAGATGCCAAGTTTCCCAAAGAGACCTTTGAAGTTCTAAATTGCCTTTAGTAAGTTTCACCAATTCTTGGAGATATTAAACTGAATTAGTGCCATAATGGCATGCAGTCAGTGGGAGAAGAGGCGAGAGCATTCCTGATAGAGTAAGAGTTACTTGCGAGATTAGCTGACAGTTAACCCAAAGAAAGAAACTTCAAAGGAGCCGAGAAAGTGTTCCATGTGATGAATTCCCCTGCACAATCTCTTGGTGGGGAACTGAGGAACGGCAGAGGAGGCCTCCCAGCAGGGCCAGAGAAAGGATCTCGGCTGGAGAGAACTAAAGTAACTCTTGACTCTGCTTCACAGACAAGACATCCAGAGCACTGGCTCAAACACTGAACTCACCAAAGGATCCTCAAGTCACCGAATATGGCTCCCCTCCCTGGGTGGGGATGGTGGGGGTCCGTAGGTGAGGTCCAATCTTGAGCTGAATCACAGCACCAGAAAACTGCCAAATAAAACCCAAACCTGGACTCAGGTAAAGGAGAGATTATTCAAAAGGATTATCGCAATTAGGGGAAGGGGCTTATGGCCCTAGGGGGAGAGAGCTTCAATTGTAATATCTGACCTTTTGAAAGGCCAGGCAGGAAGGGCTTTTCTTTTTCTTTTTTTTATTTTTTTTTTTTTGAGGAAGATTAGCCCTGAGCTAACTACTGCTCATCCTCCTCTTTTTGCTGAGGAAGACTGGCCCTGAGTTAACATCCGTGCCCATCTTCCTCTACTTTATACATGGGACGCCTACCACAGCATGGCTTGCCAAGCGGTGTCATGTCCGCACCAGGGATCCGAACCGCTGAACCCCAGGCCTCTGAGAATGGGAAAGTGCGAACTTAACCGCTGTGTCACGGGCCAGCCCAGGAAGGGCTTTTCCTTTATAGGAAAGAGTCAACAAGGCTACAAAGAACTGTTATCAGGGAGTGGCATGAGTGGGTGGCTGATAGGACCATCAATCAGGAAAAGTTTTCTTTGAGGTCAGCTGGGAAGGGACTTCTTAGAAGGGCCATTAAGGGTTTATTATGCATCTCAGTGCTGGCTTAGGCTGAAGGTGGGTGAAGGTCAAAGGCCTGGGGAGGGCACTGTGATAAAGTTTTGTTTTTTTTTTTAAAAGAAATGCTATGGTCCCAGTTTTTTGTTTTTGTTTTTTTTCCTTTTTCTCCCCAAAGACCCCCAGTACATAGTTGTATATTCTTCATTGTGGGTCCTTCTAGTTGTGGCATGTGGGATGCTGCCTAAGCGTGGCTCAATGAGCAGTGCCATGTCCGCGCCCAGGATTCGAACCAACGAAACACTGGGGCAGCGGAGCGCGCGAACTTAACCGCTCGGCCACGGGGCCAGCCCCTGTGATAAAGTTTGAGCAAGTCCAGTGAGCAGGCGTTTTGTGTGTAATGGTCAGTGGAGTCAAATAGCCAGCTAATCATTTATGAGACAAACAAGGCAGCTTGGAGGGTCTGTGTCTGGCCTTGTCTAGATAAACAAGGGTACTCTCTGTGAGTCTTAGCTAAGTCATTTGGGGAAAGGTGGTGGTTCTTTGCAGGAAGCTGTTTCCTGGAACACAAAGGTGTGGTGTGGGAGTGTCTTTAACCATCACTGACTTCTGAGAGCACGTGGTCAACAAGGTCAAGTTCAACACTGTCCCCTTATTTGAGCTGTACTTTTGACCACGGTTTTATTATGATATTTAAAGAATGTATAAGTGTATTAATTATCGCTATAACAGTGGTATTTGTCAGCACCTCCCTGCATCTATAAATGTTAGGACAGTGGATATTTGTAATCATGAGATCACTCCTTGTGCTGGTTACTAAGGTATATCTTGCAGCTCAAACCCATCCTTGCACACTCTGCTCAGTGATGCTGTGGTTGTGACAGAGCAGACCACGTTTCCTGTAAGGAGGTGCCAACAGTGGGCACTTGAGAAGACTGGAAGGCTGGAGGAGGGACGAGGGACCTGCTCCTTGATATTTACTTGCTGTCCCCGCCAGTGTCACTAAGAGATGGTTCTTTTCCCTGGAGGCAGCATTTAGTTCCAATTTCTAGTGTTTAATCCACCCTCTCACATCCAGCCTCAGCATTTACCATCAGAAATAGCACCATCACTGGGCACTGCTGTCCTTGGAGGTCTGAGTCCCCGCCCCCAGCTGTTGGTTTCTGGTATCCACTACTTCTCTCTCCACCTCTCGCCATGGCAGCTGCTTCCTGCAGTTTCTTCCTGCAGTTTCTTTCTCTCTGTTACCGCAACATTTCCTTTTTGACTTATCGACCCTCCATTCCGTTTAACCAAGTCCTTAAATTCTCTTTAAAAGTAACTGCTGTGCAAAAACGGTTCTAAGAGGGAAGTTTATAGCAATACAGACCTTGTTCAAAAAACAAGAAAAATTTCAAAATAAACAATCTAACAGTGCACCTGAAGGAATTGGAAATGGAAGAAGAAAGCCCAAAATCAGTAGAAGGAAGGAAATAATAAAAATCAGAGCAGAAATAAGTGAAATAGACACTAAAAAAGCAACAGAAAAAAAAATCAATGAAACCAAGAGCTGGTTCTTTGAAAAGACAGACAAAATTGAAAAACCTTTAGCTAGACTCACCAAGAAAAAAAGAGAGGAGGTTCAATTAAATAAAATCAGAAATGAAAGAGGAGACGCCGGCCCCATGTCTGAGTAGTAAAGTTCACACCGTCTGCTTCAGCAGCCCAGGGTTTTGCTGGTTCAGATCCTGGGCACAGACATAGTACCGTTCATCAAGCCATGCTGAGGCAGCATCCCACATGCCACCACTAGAAGGACCCACAATTAAAAATACACAACTATGTACCAGGGGGCTTTGGGAGAAAAAGGAAAAATAAAGTCCTTTTTTTTGGGGGGGGGGGGAGGAGATTAGCCCTGAGCTAACTACTGCCAATCCTCCCCTTTTTGCTGAGGAAGACTGGCCCTGAGCTAACATCTGTGCCCATCTTCCTCTACTTTATACATGGGACACCTACCACAGCATGGCTTTTGCCAAGCAGTGCCATGTCTCTAAAAAACAAAATCTTTAAAAAAAAAATAAACAGAGAATGTGAACAGACCAATCACCAATAAGGAGATCACAACAGTAATAAAAAACCTCCCAAAAGATAAAAGTCCAGGACCAGACAGCTTTCCTAGTGATTTCTACCAGACATTTAAAGAAGACTTAGTACCTATCCTTCTCAAACTTTTCCAAAAAATTGAAGAGGAGGGGAACCTTCCTAACTCATTCTACAAAGCCAACATTACCCTGATACCAAAACCAGACGAGGACAACACTAAAAAAGAAAACTATAGGCCAATATCCCTGATGGACATTGATGTAAAAATTCTCAACGAAACATTAGCAAATTGAATACAACAATACATTAAAAAGATCACACACCATGATCAAGTGAGATTTATTCCAGGGATGCAGGGATGGTTCAATATCCACAAATCAATCAACAGGATACACCACATTAACAAAATGAAGAATAAAAATCACATGATCATCTCAATAGATGCAGAGAAAGCATTTGACAAGATACAGCATCCATTTATGATTTAAAAACTCTGAATAAAATGGGTATAGAAGGAAAGTACCTCAACATAATAAAGGCCATATATGACAAAGCCACAGCTAATATCATTCTCAGTGGAGAAAAACTGAAAGCTATCCCTCTAAGAACAGGAACCAGATGAGGATGCCCACTGTCTCCACTCTTATTTAACATAGTGTTGGAAGTCCTAGCCAGAGCAATCAGGCAAGAAAAAGAAATAAAAGGGATCCAGATCAGAAAGGAAGAAGTGAAACTGTCACTATTTGCATATGACATGATTTTATATACAGAAAACCCTAAAGAATCCACCAAAGAACTTTTAGAAATAATAAATGAACATGGTCAAGCCACAGGACACAAAATCAACACACAAAAATCAGTTGCATTTCTATACACTAACAACAAAGCAGCAGAAAGAGAAATTAAGAATATAATTGCGGGGCTGGCCCCGTGGCCGAGTGGTTAAGTTCTCACGCTCCGCTGCAGGCGGCCCAGTGTTTCGTTGGTTCGAATCCTGGGCGCGGACATGGCACTGCTCATCAAACCACACTGAGGCAGCGTCCCACATGCCACAACTAGAAGGACCCACAACGAATAATATACAACTACATACCAGGGGGCTTTGGGGAGAAAAAGGAAAAAAAATAAAATCTTAAAAAAAAAAAAAGAATATAATTGCACTTACAATTGCAAAAAAGAATAAAATACCTAGGGATAAACTTAACCAAAGAGGTGAAAGATCTGTACACAGAAAACTATAAAATACTGCTGAAAGAAATTGAAGAAAACACAAAGAAATGGAAAGATAGTATGTGCTCTTGGATCAGAAGAATTAACACAGTTAAAATGTCCGTACTTCCTGAAGCAATCTACAGATTCAGTGTAATCGCTATCAAAGTTCCAACAACATTTTTGACAGAAATAGAACAAAGAATCATAAAATTTATATGGAATAATGTAAGACACTGAATAGCCAAAGGAACCCTGAGAAAAAAGACTAAAGCTGGAGGTATCACACTCCCTGATTCCAAAACATACTACAAAGCCATAGTAAGCAAAACAGCGTGGTATTGGCACAAAAACAGACACACAGATCAATGGAACAGAATCAAGAGCCAAGAAATAAACCCATATAGCTATGGACAGCTAATTTTCGACAAGGGAGCCAAGAGCATACAATGGAGAAAGGAAAGTCTCTTCAATAAATGGTGTTGGAAAAACTGGACAGCCACATGCAAAAGAATGAAAGCAGACCATTATCTTACACCATGCACAAAAATTAGCTCAAAATGGATTAAAGCTTGAATGTAAGACCTGAAACCATGAAACTTCTAGAAGAAAACATAGGCAGTTCGCTCTTCAACACTGGTCTTTCAGCATATTTCCAAGTACCATGTCTGACCAGGCAAGGGAAACAAAGGAAAAACTAAACAAATTGGGCTACATCAAACTAAAAAGCTTCTGCACAGCAAAGGAAACCATCAACAAAACAAAACGAAAAGAGAACCTAACAATTGGGAGAAGATATTTGCAAACCATATATCAGATAAGAGGTTAATATCAAAAATATATAAAGAACTCATACATCTCAACAACAAAAAAACTAACAACCCAATTAAAAAACAGGCAAAAGATCTGAACAGAGATTTCTCCAAAGAAGATATACAGGTAGACAACAGGTGCATAAAAAGATGCTCAACATCACTAATTATTAGGGAAATGCAAATCAAAACTACAATGAGATATCATCTCATTTCCATCAGAATGACTGTAATTAACAAGACAGGAAACAACAAATATTGGAGAGGATGTGGAGAGAAGGGAGCCCCCATACACTGCTGGTGGGACTGCAAACTCGTGCAGCCACTATGGAAAACAGTATGGAGATTCCTCAGAAAATTAAGAATAGAACTACCATATAATCCAGCTATTCCACTGCCGTGTATCCATCCAAAGAACATGAAAACAGAAATGCATAAAGATACGCACACTCCTATGTTCATTGCAGCCTTAGTCACAATAGCCAAGACTTGGAAGTAATTTAGGTGCCCAATAAGGGACAAATGGATAAAGAAGATGTGCCATATATATATACAACAGAATACTACTCAGGCATAAGAAACAAAACTCTGGCTGGTCTGTGCCCGAGTAGTCAAGTTCACGTGCTCTGCTTTGGTGGCCCAGGGTACACAGGTTCAGATACTGGATGGACCTAGCACTCTCATCAAGCCATGCTGGGGCAGCATCCCATATAGAAGAACTAGAAGAACATACAACTGGGATGTACGACTATGTACTGGGGGTGGGCTCTAGGGAGAAAAGAAAAAAGATTGGCAACAGATGTTAGCTCAGGGCCAATCTTCCTCACCAGAATGAAAAAAAAAACCAAACGATGAAATCTGGCCATTTGTCACAACATGGATGGACCTTGAGGGCATTATGCTAAGTGAAGTAAGTCAGAGGGAGAAAGTCAAATACTGTATGATCTCACTCATAAATAGAAGATAAAAACAACAACAAACAATCACATAGAGACAGAGATGGGATTGGTGGTTGCCAAAGGGGAAGCCGGGAGGGAGGAGGGCCAAAGGGGTGACAGGGCACAGGTGTGTGGTGATGGATTGTAGTTAGTCTTTGGGTGGTGAACAGGATGTAATCTATACAGGAATTTAAATATGATGATGTACACCAGAAATTTACATAATGTTATAAACCAATGTTAACACAATTTTAAAAAAGTAACTGCTGTATCTATTTTCGTGTTTTTTTCTTCTTCTCCCCAAAGCCCCCCAGTCCATAGTTGTATATTCTAGTTGTAGGTCCCTCTGGTTGTGCTATGTGGGACTCCACCTCAGCATGGCTTGATGAGCAGTACCATGTCTGCGCCCAGGATCTGAATTGGCAAAACCCGGGGCCACCGAAGCAGAGCGTATGAACTTAACCACTCGGCCACGGGGCGGCCTCTGTATTTTATGACTGGCCTCTGACTGATACACCCCTGAGAGATCCAGAAACACCTTCTGAACTACTCATGTAGATTTATGATGGGTATATATTATTGCGGTAATTAAAAATAAGCAGGTTACATTTATGGGATACATGCAGTATCCAACTGACAAAAAAGATACATTCTAAAAGTTAATTTATAAGTCTATTGTTTGGATCTTGAAATTAATTTTCCTATGAAAACAATATTACACATTGAAGTTAGACAATCGGATCAATCCATCAATGCTCATAATATGTCTGAAGAACAATATTGTACAGATTGTGTTAGGGAACAGAATTAGCAGTGCTTTGGCAAGATACATTCAAAGTTCCAACTACCGCATTAGTAACAAATTTTATTCACACTTTTATTTGTCTATTTTTACTTTAAAAAATTTTAATAATATTATTTGAATCAATATATCCAAAATAGTATTTCAGTATATAATCAATATTTAAAAATAAATTAAATGAGATATTTAAAGCTGTTTTTTCATACTAAAACTTCAAAATCGAGTGTGTATTTCACATTTACCACACCTTTCAATGCAGTGTAGACACATTTCACTGGCTCAGTAGCTACAGTAGAGATACAGCTGCAGAGGATGTGCCAAAGACTAGGATTGCTGGGTCATAAAATACACACATTTTCTTTTCTTTTTTTAAAGATACAAATGCTTAATGATATGAACAGGTAACTCAAAAGCAAGCAAATTTGATCACTCCTTTGGCAATTAAAAAGAATATTCTGGTAGGCATACTGAGTATTGACAATTAAAAACAAACTTAACATATTCTTGACATAAGCCCAGTAAGAAAAAACTGGTCCAGTGAGGATGGAGCAAACATGTTTAGCCTCGTGGAAAGAAGTCACAGGCTTAGCTTCAAACATCGAATTGATAAAATTTATGAATTTAATTTCATAATGCATTATGAGGGTTTTCACAGCCTATTTGCCTTCACGATGCTTTACTTAAGGAATTTAAAGGTATCATTTTGTCCCTTAGTAAAAAGGGTAGTCTGGATTAGCAATAGATGGAGAAAACAAATTGCAATTGCTGTTTTTCTAGTTCTGACCAGAATGCAGATTCTGTGTATACCTGCAGGAGATATTTTGGGTTCATACTTGTGTTTCCATAATAAAAATATAAACCACAGTTTAAAAGGAGCTCGTGTTCCTCTTGTTCTAGGTCTTGCACATGATGCATTATAAGAAGATTACTTTCCTAAATCAAATTAAAGCAAGATTGTCATTGGAGGAGGAATCTCCTTGGGGAAGAGGCAAGATTTACCCTCCCCCAGGAATCTTTCATTAACTCCTCTGCCATCGTCACTACAGCTCGCCCGCATGGTGACTTCACCCAGTAACACTCCGGCACAAGGGTGGGGAGGGGACAGAAGAGTCCAGAGCAATCCTTCCAGAATATCCCAAAGCCTAGAAGAGAGAAGGCCAGGTCTGCACGAAGGGGAAAGGTGGGTTAACATGAATCCAGCATGCCATGTGGCGTGGCTAATTCATGCTTCACTTACAGGGCACTGTCATCCTCTGCTCCGTGTGGACATGTCTAAGCAAGCACCCCCGGGGTATCTAACCTCCTCAGCTCCAAAGCCCAAGAGGGTGAACCTCAGAGACTCAGCGGTTCCCTCCAAGCCAGCCCAGCCCTGCTCAGCGTTCACGAGTGTCTCCCAAGAGCGATGACCTCCTTTTGTTAGAATGATGGACACCAGGCAAGCCTGCTGTTACGGGGAAACCCACGTACTCACAGGGTCTCAGCTTTACCCTCCAGCCCCAGCAGGACACGGCGGGCGGGGAAGTGAGTGGGCATACAGTTAGTGCCTTCCTTTACTTCAATACATGGTGTCGGGTGAATAAATGAAATGTAGATGAATAAGAACCTGTTCCGCTTTCCGGGAGCTAAAAATCCAGCGGAAGACACATCCACAATATTCTTCTTGCTACCAAGGAGACAGTATCAACTTTTATAATCGACACAGGGCTACGTGCTGTAAGGGCGGGAGACAAGTGTTTTCAGCTTTGCACAGCGCCGTGGATTGTTCCACGATTTAATCTTAGTTTTTATGTGAAAATACAGATGAATGTAATGAGGTTTTAAATGCTAAATTTAGTAAGCAAGGCACATCAGGGAAAAAAAAAAACACATGGTCATCTCTAAACTTTACATGATATAAACCTTGGCATTAAATTATTTTCTTTTTCTGGCATAAAATATTTTCATATTTAAAATCAGAAAAGGCAGCACTTCTCGCGCTTCCTGCCTCCCAGGAAGGGGACACACAATTTTGACAAGGACCCCACTCGCGCCCAGCCCTTAGCGGTTCGGGGAGCGAAGAACCCGGGCGAGCCTGAGGGAGCGCACGGACGCCAGCGCTCCACGTGGACCGCGGAAGCGCCCAGAGGGCGCGCTGACCTCGGCCCGCAGCCTTGCGCCGGGGCCGCCTGGTGGATGCGGGCGAGGCGGGGATGCGGGGGGCGGGCCCTGGAGGGGCGGGCCCAGGGGCGTGGCGCGCGGGCGGGCGGCCCCCTGACCAGAGGCTCGGTCTCCGAGCGCGGCACAGCGCAGCTCCCGGCCCTCGCGCGGCGGTTGTGGGGCGGCCTGGCGCGGCTCCCTCCTGCGCCCCAGGGCCGGACGCCGGCTGCAGGTAACCAGCTCCCCACGGCCCCCTGCTCGGCCGCCCGCCGGCCGGGGAGGGATGGGCGGGAGGACCGAGGGAGCCGGCTCCCTCCCGGGGCCCCTCTGCCCGAGCGGGGTGGGATCCGCCGGGGAAGAGGCCGCGCAGCCGGGGCAGGAGAGAGAGGACGCGCGGTGGGGATCCGCGGCGAGCGCGTGCGCCCGGGGCCGGGGATGGCGCAGGGCGCCCTCCCTAGACTCCGCTCTTCCCTCGGACCAGTGGAGTCAGGGGCCAGGTCTCTGGTGCCCAGTGTCACCTGGAAGCCACTTCTTCTGGCCTCTTTTCCCCTGGTCCGCGTAGCGAGTAGGAGCTTAGAAATCGGAGGAGTTGCTGCGGGCGTGGGTAGGCGGAGAGCGATCAGTCGCTCACTGCCATCCCTTGGGTGCCAGCGGCTTTAACTTCGTTTAATCCCAGCCATCGCCCTGCGAGGAGGCATTATTACCCCCATTTTACTGATAAAGAAGCCGACACCAGGACGATAAGAGACTCGCCCTGGGGCAAACCACTGGACAGGAGACGCCAGTCCGGGGGCCCGAAGCCCTCGCGCTTCCCCCTGGCTCCCGGCTCCCCCATCCTTCACGCGCGCGTCTGGGAAACTCGCGCGGCGGAGTGGAACCAGGTGATCGTTCCTACACGTGTTCCCGTCCCCTCCTAGGTTTCTTTTTTGTTTTCTTGTTTTGTTTTGTTAGCACCCACTTTCTGATTCAGACTCTTCCAATTTTGGGTTATCAGCCTTTCGAAGTGGAAGCGGCTCTGGCTCGCAGCTTCTCCCCTGGCGGCGCTTTCTCTCTGCGCAGCGCAGACACGGGCGCCCTCGCCTGCCCCGCGCTCCTCGTCGTTCGCGGTGGATGAGGTCGCCTGCAGATCCGGCCGCGCCCGGGCACTGCCCAGGTGGAGGTAAGCTTTGTACTCACCTGGCAGCCTTCGCACCCTTGCTTGCTTGCTTTCTGGAAGGAAGAGAGCCTTCATTGTACAAACAGTAAGACAAGAGGCGAATGGGAGGATGTACGGTGTTCAGAGAGAGCGGTGGTGCCATGAGGTGAGAACGGCCACAGCTTTTTGCGGCCTGAATTGGGCGCGCGGTAGGTGAGGCCCGCGGGCGGGGCTCGTCCCCTCCTCTGGGTATTCTGCCCCCTGTCAGACCTGTTCTGAGAGGCAGGTTGGTTATAATACAGGGAGGAGGAGGGAGAATGGTTTTTAAAGATCAGTGTAAATTCCCTGATCGGAGCCCAGGCGGTTCCGGACAAGCCCCCGCCAGAGCCTTTGGTCACAGATTTCAGGTCTGGAAGAAGGACAACTCCAGCCCTGTGGGTATCTGCTTTGCTCGATGGAGTTTTTGCAGGCCTTCAATATGGTACTTTGGGAAACTGAGTACTTAGAAATGGCTAACGCGTCTATTTTTAAAAACAATGTAACATACCGTGAATTTACTTTTAAGTTTTATTGGTAGATGGAAAAAGTTGACGTTTTTTCCATTTCACGGTGAGGGTTGGAAGGTTGCCTGTCGGCTCCTCGGCCCCTGCTTCAGCCTGACCCTGGAGAGGACAGCTTAGGGTGGGCCCCGAGTGTGTGCTGGAGCCCACCCTTCATTAATTATAGTTCATCCTTGATTAGTTATAGGACTCCGAGGCCTGTAATAGGTCCTATATATGAGTGCTTCTTTTCCATTTGTAATTTAGTTGCTTAAAACTAATAAAAATGTTTTCTCTGAAAGCTATCAACTGTCTGCAAAGTCTGCTATCTACAGGACTGAAGGTACCTCAGGGGGGAGCCCAGTGGGCTGGGTTGGTGCCAGGTGACCTGCAGAGCGCCTGCTGAAATCTGTGGGTATCGGCGATTCCCTCCCCATAACCACGCAGTAATTTGGGCCCAGTGTGACCAGAGCTTTTTTTTCCTCAAAAATAGCTGAAAAATCCTTATTTTTTAAAAACATGTAAAACTTGATTTTAAATATTGGCTTTTTTTTTAACAGAAGGAATTTGATCAAATTTGGTTCATGCAATATCCATTTTCAAATCTCTGTCTTAGAAACTGCTGTACTTGGCGCCGGCCTGGTGGCTGAGTGGTTAAGTTCATGCGCTCTGCTTTGGCAGCCCAGGGTGTCCCGGTTCAGATCCTGGGCATGGACATGGCACCGCTCATCAGGCCATGCTGAGGCGGCGTCCCACATGCCACAACTAGAAGGACACACAACTAAAAGAAAAATATGCAACTATACTGGGGGGATTTGGGGAGAAAAAGCAGGAAAAAGAAAGAAACTGCTGTATATGGTGATTACATCCTCAGGTGAATGAAAAATTCTGACCTATGATGTAGATATTGTACATTTTTGCTGAAATGAGATGGTAGGAAACAAGTTACTACTCTTGAAAATGATCTCTTCTGATTCTCAATTTCTGTTTTCTGTGAAGTGTACGTTATTTCAGGAGCATTGAGTAAAGGAGTCTTTCATGGGCCAGCCAAGGAATCATGTCACTATTTTTAATATTCATGCTAATGAAAAACGTGTTCATGGTTCCAGCTGGGGATGTCAGGTGCCTGACTCCCTGCCTTCAGAAGGGAGCTCCCCCATGACTGTTGCTCTGAATCAGGTGTGTTTCTCCTGAGGCCCGTCCGTGTTCTTCACCACCTTGGCTTTGATGTGGAAGCGTGGCTTAGGGATGACCTGTTTCCTTGTTGCCCATCTGTGGCCAATGCCGTGTGTGTTTAGACGAGAGGTTCTCAACTTTGGCACTTTGGACATCTTTGGCCAGATCATCTTTTGTTGTGGGGATTGTCCCGTGCGTTGTAAGATGGGCAGCAGCATCCCTGGCTCTACCCACCAAATGCCAGTGGTCCCCACCCTCCAGTTACAGCAACCGAAAATGTCTCCAGCATTGCCACCTGTCCCCTGGGGACAAAGTCACCCAGCTGAGGAAAAAATGAGCCAACATTTAAAATGCTCTAGATATTTATGAACTAAACTATAAATTAAACACAATAACTTTAAAATCCTAATGACTAGAGAAGCTATTTGTAAAGTTTAAACAAACATCTGATTTTTAAAATATTTTTTGTAATAAACATGACTAAACCAGCGTTCTTCATGAATGGCCCATGTGTCCTGCCAGGTTTTATCTCCAAAGAAATTTCAAATGTTTGATACAGTTGTTAAATTTCTAAAGTTTAAAATGGTGGAAACTAAAAAGGAATTCCACAGTAGTTTTCATTTTTCTCCTTTTAGTATACCTGATGTCTTTCAGTTTTTTGTTTATTTGTTTGTTTGTTTATGAGGAAGATCAGACCTGAGCTGACTGCTGCCAATCCTCCTCTTTTTGCTGGGGAAGACTGGCCCTGAGCTAATATCTGTGCCCATCTTCCTCTACTTTCTATGTGGGACGCCTACCACAGCATGGCTTTTTGCCAAGTGGTGCCATGTCCACACCCGGGATCCGGGCCGGTGAACCTGGGCCGCCAAAGTGGATCTGTGAACTTAGCCGCTGCGCCACGAGGCCAGCCCCAGTCTTTCAGTTTTTTTAAGGTGATGGAGTATCCATGGGCCATGTGTGTTGATTTGGGGAAATTGACACAATCGCTAATATTAGAACCCTAAAGAAAAATTTGAAGGCAAAATTTTAATAATGATAGTGTAAATCATGTTTGCAGTAGAATTGAGTTTTAGGAAAAATTAAAACCTTTTTAGCCAACAGCAGTAAATAAGACAACCATGTGTTTCTGTAGTTTGAAAAATCTTAATTTTATGAAACAGCCCTACATAATATACAATATTACATACTAGAAAAAAAATGTCCTGAAAATATAACCTTTTTTTAGACATTAAGCTTGGGAGGTTGCAAACACAGCAGCCCTGGTTATGAAAGATGCATCCTTAGCTAGCGATTGGCTGTCCACTGGGCCCTCTCTGGAAATCAAGCTCATTTGTAAGACTCTAGAATGCTTCACAATTTGTGGGGCCCCTTGTTGAATATTATTCAGGATTTCAAGATGGCGGCAGGCGGGGCGCATGCGGCAGGCGGGGCGCATGCAGCACAGCGCCGGCCCCGGGCGGCTGCACTGGCTGCGCACCCAGGAAGCTGCCCCCATAAAACTCTTTGTCCCCGGCTCAGAAGAGGATTGCAATCGCAAATACAAACCCGAAGAAGGAAACGTTAACTGCTGCCACGAAGCATCAGAGTTTCTGATTCGTTGATTATACTTCCAATCAATTGGATTATATTTCCAATCAGGAGTCTACATGTATTTGGTAATCAATGAACTAAATTTACTAAGAAATTCCTCCCACGATTAATTTTTCTTTTGCTAAAGAGATAGCCAAATTGTTTGTGATGGCCCTGGGTACCTAGGTACTGTTTACTGAGCGCCTGTTAGATGTCCCGCATTGTTGGCTCAGGCTACAACTGTGAACAGGATGGAGGGGCGCTGCCTCCATGAGCATCCAGTCCAGTGGCTGGAGGAGGCGCACAGATGAGCACATGGTCTACAGGCTCTTACAGTGTGTCCGGAGAGCCTTTCCCCTGGGGACCTAACCCAGGGGAGGGGATTACTCAGGGTGGGTCTCCCTCGAAAGTGATCTTGAAAATGAGGCCTGGAAAATGACGAGGACGGAGTCAGGTGGGTTAGGGGCTGAAGTTCTGGGCTGAAAGGGTGGAGACCAAGGCAGGAATGCGGCTTGGGGTGAGGCCTCTCGGGTCATTTTTAGGACTTCGGACTTTAACGGAAAGGTAGTGAGAACCCACTGAAGGGTGTTAAATGGGTTATGAGATGGTTGATTAGATTGGGGGTTTTTAAATGATCATCGTGCTATGTGGAGAATGGTTTGCAGGGGTGGGCCCTGTTGGCCTCTATGGTGCCTTTGCGCAAGCTAGAAAAAGGCTTCCTTTTGGGTGGACCAGTTAGAAAAGAGGTACTGCTTTGTCCCAGCCAGGCCAGGCCAAAGGCCTCAGCCCCTCAGCTGTCACTTTGCACATACATGGCCACCCTGAGGAGGGGGAGCATGGCGTGTGGGCAAATAGTGCAGAGGCTTTTGCAGTCACCCAGGGATGGTGCAGGGATGCTGAGAAGAAGTCAGTGGTAGGAGAGAGAGAGGGTGAGTTCGTAGTTAACAAAAGTAAGAAAGTCGTGATTATTTGGATACAATTGATGGAGAGGGAGGTATCAAGGATGATTCAGAAGTTTCTGGCATAAGTAAGTGAGTGGGCTAGGTTAGTGACACCATTTACGGTGTTAGAGTAACACTGCAGGAGGAACGGGTTGGCATGAGGTGGGAGGGAAGATGGTTCCCTTTGAACATGTTTTGCTTATGAAACATTCAGGTGGGGACAAGAATAGGCAATTGGAACCCAGGAAAGAGATCTGGGGTAGAAATACCTGTTTGGGGGCTGTTGCATGTAAATAATCATTGCATATAAAAAGGATCATCCAAAGAAAGGTGTAGATGAGAGGAGAAAGGGGCTGGCCCTGGAGAGCCAGATCCTTGTGTTTGGAAGACAAGGATAAGGGGCCTCAGGCCACCGAGAAGCCAGTCTGCATGAGGGATGAGGAGGAGATGGGGTCTGTGGCTTTCTCTTCCTTTTTTTTTCCCACTTGAGACTGGAGAGACTTGAACATGTTCTAATGCTGCTGGGAAGTTTCTGGTAGAGAGACTAAAGATGTGGGAGTGAGAAACAAATGATAGCGCCAGCTTTCAGAGAAGGCGAGAGAGGATGGATTCCAAAACACAGCGTGGGGCTTGGTCTTTGACGGGAAGAGGGAGCGAGAGGATGGATAAAGAGGCCTTAGATTTGGGGACCAGAATTCTCTTTTCTGTGAAGGAGGAGGCAAAACCGTCTTCTGAGTTTGATGTGTTTGTGTGTGAAGTCAGACATTCAGCCAGTATTTACTGGGCACGTTCCAGTGCCGGTCATTGTGGCAGGCTCCTTGGAAGGTATACGAATGACATTGATTGCCAGCCTTGTGATGTAATAGAAATATGTATATTTGGTCTTTGTCCCTGGTTCTGGT